TAACCTTTTCTAATAGTCCTTTAACATGAGGTGTTTTAAAGTACTTGTCGTATGGATGATCCTGATTAGACATTTTCAACACCTGTTGATTTATCCCAAGAATCCTGAGAAATTGAAACATTTGAAGGGTACAGTTGAAAAAAGACAAAAAGTGACTTTTGAGAAAAGTGAATTTAAAAGTTAGAAGACTCCTAGACTCGTTGTACGGGAAAGGTCAAAGATTTGACGGAGTACCATAAGTTGCTTATTGCGGGAAATTGAAAAAAGCTAAATTATAAATACAAAAATATCTTCTGATATACAAGGTAGCCCGAATTGAAACCAGGCCAAAAATTTTGCTATAATGCGGAAGAAACCCAAAGGTCAAAGATTTGACGGAGTACCATAAATTCCTTATTGTGAGAAATTGAAAAAAAGCTAAATTATAAATACAAAAATATTTTCTGATATACAAGGTAGCCCAAATTGAAACCAGGCCAAAAATTTTGCTATAATGCGGAAGAAACCCAAGGTCGATGGGACCAACCGGAGGATTATATTATTCCACGAAATGTTTTCTCTTGATTAACTACTCTTAGCAGCTACAAGTGAACAGATTGACAATCGCCACATCTATCATTTTGCAGTTACGTAATATGGGTGGCGGTTCATGGCATGTTCCTTAAAGAAACAGATTAATCTATTCAAATCTAAGTACCTATCAGAAATCAGAATTAAGAAAAAAATGCTCATGATAAATATGTATACTAAGTGACATATAAATCCGAACATCCAGTTTAAATGGTTTTATTTTAATAAAAGTTGGTGAATGTATTTATCTTACTGTAAATAACAAGTGAAAAAATTTTCAGTTGGACATTCCGGTTTTTATACTGCTTTTTTTTAATTCACTAACGCGCTAAAAATGAATATTTCAGCCGCAGTAAAGAATCAACGTTGGCGGATTTTGGTTCTTGACATCCTTTACGATCGGTTACGATGCCTAAAGTACGGAGACCTGTACGATTTCGTCAACTTAGGGAGTTTGATAGGGGCCGTATAGTGGGACTTCGGGAAGCTGGACTTTCTTTTCGGCCAATTGCAGTTAGAGTGCAAAGAAGTGTAGACACTGTGGTTAGGTGTTGTCAGGCATGGCTTCGAGAAGGCCGTACGCAAAGAGCAAGGGGCACTGGACGCCGCCGTAGAACAACAGACCGTGAAGAGCGCCGCCTAAGATTATTGGCCTTAAGGGACCGTTTCTCCACTACCAGGTCCATTGCAAATGAATGGTTTGCAGAACACGGAAGACCTATTGAATGAGAATGAGAAGTTTTGGCTTGTTTTCATACCGGCCACACTGGGTCCTCCCTTTAACTCGAGAACACCGACGTAATCGCCTTGAGTGGTGCAGACAACGGCCACTCTGGGATCAGGAATGGAACAGTATTGTCTTTAGTGACGAGTCTCGATTTTGTTTAGGCATGCACGATGGTCGTGCCAGGGTTAGAAGGCGACGTGGTGAAAGGAGGAAGCCACAGTTTTTTGTTGAAACACATGTTCATCACACTGTTGGAGTTATGGTTTGGGGTGCTATAGCTTGTGGTTCCAGGTCACCTTTAATCTTCATCAGAGGTAACATGAACGCGCAGCGTTATATCCACGAAGTTCTAGAACCCCATCTTTTACCCTATCTTGACACCCTGGCAGATCCAACTTTCCAACAAGATAATGCCCGACCACATGTTGCAAGAGTCACAATAGACCTCTTTCAACATAATGATGTCACATTGTTACCATGACCACCAAGATCTCCCGACTTATCCCCAATTGACCACGTGTGGGATATGATGGGTAGGAGATTGCTCAATTTGCAACGTCCTCCTCAGACTCTAGAAGCACTTCGAGAGGAGTTGGTGGTTGCCTGGAATGAAATACCACAGGAGGACATTGAAGACCTGATCAGAAGCATGCCTAGGCGCGTTGGAGAATGCGTAGCACATCAGGGTGCATCCACACATTATTAAAAGTCAAACCATTAAACTGGGTGTTCGGATTTATATGTCACTTAGTATATATACGTAGAGCGTCAAATAAACAAGCAGCTATGTGGAATGTGATTAAAGCCAATGGTGTGCAATCATCAAAATCACATTCGTCTACTCTCCACGCGAATGATTTAAACTCTTTCTTCGTCAGCATTGCTGAAACCATTATTGCTGAAATTGCAGCTACCCAGTCGAACTTCAAAGATTTTATACAGACTAGTGATACACTACATTTCAACTTTCATGTTCGAGACGCAATCAAAAGCTTAAAGAATTCTAAAAGTAAATATCCTCATGACATCGACGTTAAAATATAAATACCTTAAATAACTTGATAGTATATCCTATAACAAAATTGATAAACATGTGTATCGAAAATATTGTCTTTCCTGCTTCATTAAAACTCGCAAAGATTCTAGCACTTAGGTTCTACTCTAGCTGACCTGTGCAATAGTACCAATAAATTATTATTGTTATATTTTCTATACCAGATATATTGCCACCGTTTTTGGATCACCCTGTAAATACTTTTCGTCTTAGATTTACTCAAGGAATTACTCATTATCCCATTAACATCCTATACCAGATGTTTCAAATTCGAACGACACTATTGGGATCTCAAAAACAGTAGGAGATACGAAGTCGCTCAAACGGGGCCAGAGTTGCGTATTTAGGTAATTATTAAAATGCCGCTTAGAAGGTTAAAATTCGAAGCACTCCCAGAGAGAGAGACGGGAAAAACCGAATGTTCCTACAATTGTTTTAACTGAATTGCCACTTTTTCTCCTCTGCAAGAAGGATAATCAGAATTGCAATATGTCGTTTCGTCTATTGCCCTTCATCATCAACTTTATCTTTTTTTCTGGTCGCCAACTTGGACTTTTGCACAGATGCATAGTGTTTTTAATTCTGATTCCAAAAATGTATACGTTGACAATGCCAAATCTAAGCTATTTAAAAAAACTGAATGTGCCAAGTAGGCCTTGATCAGATAGTCATTTGTTTCGTATACCAGATTTATCACAAAATCATTTTTATTTCCTGTTCCAGGTCAGCGCTCTATTTTGAGGTTATGTTACGAATAACTATTTCCATCGAATTGTTCGTGCTTTTGATTTATTTGATCAGCTTCAAATTTCCTACAGTTCAAAAAGAAAACATAGCACTGACGCTGATACGGAACAGTAGAAAATTAAAAAAAACCACAACCTTTCTGACGGAGAGCAAACACTATGAAAATCAAGAAGGCCGTAAAGGCGCCCTACAATTGTAAGGACGACTGACAATACTGTATTCACCTTTGTAAAAATCTAATATAGCGACTTAGGAAATGAATAAAGGTGATGCTGGAGAAGAGACGAAACGTTGTATTGAAATTCTAATTATGCCATCTTGTAGAGGAGAAAAAGTGGCAATGTCGGCGTACAATTTATTTTAAAATCCCAGTACAAATGAAGACAGTAAAAAATTGAAGCGATGTTGGGAAAATGCGGGTCTTTTCCCCCGGAAGTGCTTTGAATTTCGAAACATTCTAAGCGGATTTTGTTAACTACCCCCCCCCCCCCCAACCCCCCCCTATTAGGTTACTTCGTATCTCTGACAATTTCCGAGATCCTAATGATGAGGATCGAATCTGAAACACCCGGTATATCCGTAGTATAAAGGGTTGTCCAATAGGGACGCAGGAAAGTAAACGTCAATTTGACATAGACGCCATCTTTGTTTTCTGTCACCGACATGTCATTTTGTTAGTTGAATGTTTACCATTGATCGCTATGGAGTCGTATTCGATTGAAGACCGCATTAAAGTTATTCAAGAGCACTACAAAAATGGTGCAAAAATAAAAACACGTTTCGCGCGGTTCGTGAACATTTCGGTCGCAACAACCGCCCAAACGAAACAACCATCGGTCATCTGGTGCGTAAATTCGAGGCAACAGGTTCTGTGGCAAATCTGCCAGGCTCTGGCCGGCCAAGGAGTGTTCGAACACCGGAAAATATTGCTGTTGTGAAGGAGAGTGTGAGAGACGATCCAAAACAATCAACAACGCGTCGATCCCAAGAATTGGGCATTTCGAGAACCAGTTTGCTCCGCATTCTCCACAAGGATTTGAATGTACACGCCTACAAGATCCAATTGACGCAAGAGCTGCGTCGGGCCGACCATTTTTCGCGCCGAACGTTCTCAGATTGGCTCCTTGAACACCGCCAAATTGATGCCAATTTTTCATCAAAAATCATGTTCAGCGACAAAGCGCATTTCACTTTGAATGGGACGGTAAACAAGCAAAACTGCCGCATCTGGGCTAACGCAAATCCCCGTGAGTATCAAGAGCAGCCGATGCATCCTCAAAAAGTGACTGTGTGGTGTGCATTGTGGTCAAAAGGCATCATCGGACCTTACTTTTTCGAAAATGCGGCCGGGGACGCCGTTACCGTCAATTCTGAGCGATATCACTTGATGATAGAGGACTATTTTTTGCCGCAACTTGAAAGAATGGATATGGACGATGTTTATTTCCAACAAGACGGTGCAACATGCCACACAACCAACGTCAATATCCATCGATTGCAGTCCTTCTTCGGTGATCGCGTGATTTCGCGCAGAGGAAATGTGCCATGGCCACCAAGATCGTGCGATTTGACTCCCTTGGACTTCTTTTTATGGGGATATTTGAAAAGCAAAGTCTACGTCAACAAACCAGCCACCCTCCAAGAACTCAAAAACAACATCATTGCCGAGATAAATGCCATAGAACCGACCATGTTGCAAAATGTCATTGAAAATTTCGACCATCGCGTGGAGGTCTGTAAATCCAGTCGTGGTGAACATTTGAGCGATATTATTTTTCATACATAAATGAACCTTCAAAATAAAGTACTCAACTTGATTTGAATATCAATCTTTCTTGTTTTAATATGCGTTTACTTTCCTGCCTCCGTTTTGGACAACCCCATATAATCGAATCTACTCACCTTTGACGACGCCGGCCTCCTGTTGGTGAGGCACAGGCGGAGGCGGTGCTTGCCTGCTTGGTGCTGTCCGTCCCCCTCTGCTTTTCGCCAATGCTTCAGCCACTACGCTTTTCGAAGGACGGGGCGGTACCGGAGGGGGCGGTTTACCCCCTCCACCGCCACCGCCAGCCCCGTTCCGCTGTTGTTGACCGCTGTTTCCAGTGTTGCCATTTCCACTGGCACCGATCGTCATCGTGATCATTTTGATTGTCTTTCGTTATCACTTGCTTGCACCATTCGTGATTGCACTGTCACTGAGAATTACATGCGTCGCTAGTTTAAAGCGCGATGCCGGTGTTTTTTTTTCAGGTTTTCAGCTTAATATAAGTAAAAAAATGTCAAGTGGGTCGACTCACTTTCTACGCAACGTCGTCACCAGTTCAGCGCAATTTAAATCCCCTAGAGAAAAAACTGAGTTCCGGACATGTAGAACAGAGACCATGAACGTATCAAGTCGGTCAAAGAGGCCCATACAATCAATGCATCGACATTCTTTCCCTGGCCTACTGGTAAAGAAGTTGTATTTTCGGATACTTAATCAAAAAACGAATATTAAAGTTACAGAAAAGGCAGTGGCTCACATTTGTTTGACCTATAATGGGCAAATTTGAACAGAATCGAGTAATATTTTTTAAGATATTATTTTTTTTTTAATTTATCACCATGTATCTCTAAAATATCTCCGTCTATTTTTCGAACACCCTGCATACAAATTTACGGAAATTTAAATTATGACAAGCCGCAACACTACCTATACTTGAAAATACTTGTTGCCAGGGGCGGCTGGCCCTCGAGTTCTGCAGAGCTGCAGAAATGCCAAAACTTTTTTCTTAACAGAAAAAAGCAGTAGTAATTTGATCATTATGTATTTTCCATGTTATCACACAAATAGAAACAATACCGGCAACGCTGCCCCCGCAAGGCACAGCGTCGAGTCTGTTTTGTATTGAGAAAGCAGTGTATAATCGACCAATTGTGTACTTGTCATTTTCGTCGCGACCGCAGCGTAACATTATTCATGGGCCACTTGAAAAGGGTCTGTGCACTACTTCGACACAAGCCGCACGCGCTTGCTTTTGTCTCTCCACAAAATCAAATGCGCCATTTAAGCATAAGCATGTGCTGCACGTTATACATTTTAGGCATTGCTGCGCTCACCAACATCGACAATGCCACTCTGAGACTTAACCACTTTCCGCGGCGGTGGCGGGAAGCCCAGGTTATAATGCTCACCAAGCCAGGCAAGGACCGGAACTTGCCCCAGAACTACCGGCCCATCAGCCTGGTTTCCTCGATGGGCAAAGTAGTCGAAAAGGCTATCGCCGTTCGACTAGAGAAGCAGGCAGAAGAACTGCAACTTCTCCCCCCAGAGCAATTCGGCTTCAGATCCTCCCACAACACGGAACTCCAAGCGCTACGACTGACGGAAAACATCACCAGCGGCTTCAATCTCCAGGAGGCAACCGGTCTCGTCCTGCTGGACGTGGAACGAGCCTTCGATCGAGTTTGGCACGATGGACTCATCGCCAAAATGGAAGCCGCCGGAATCGATGCGAACATGTGCCAACTGATCCAGAGCTATCTAACACAAAGATGGTTCACGGTGACGATTGGTACATGCCATTCAACAAGACGACAGCTGGAAGCAGGCGTGCCCCAGGGGTCAGCCTTAGCCCCCCTGCTCTACAACATCTATACTCACGATGTGCCGAAGACAGCTGACACAATGCTGGCCCTATATGCAGACGACACTGCTATAGCCGCCAAGCATAGACGACCCGAGATCATCCGTAGGAGACTACAGGTTGAACAGGACCACATCCAGGACTGGTGCGTGAAATGGAAAATCCGCATCAACGTCCAGAAGACGCAGGCAATCTTCATTCAACGAAGAAGGATTGCAAGACCTCTCGAATCATCCATCTTCGACGAAGATATCCAGTGGAGCGACAAAGTCAAATATCTGGGGATCGTATTTGACAAGTCCCTCACCTGGAAAGCCCACATAGAAGCTGTCATCGCAAAGACCAGAGCAACCACGGCTCAACTCTACCCATTACTGGGTAGACACAGCCGGATGCCGCTAGCGACCAAGCTACGGCTGATCAAGGCCATCGCCAGACCTCAGCTCGCTTACGCCTCCGCGGTCTGGGGGTACGCTGCCCCCAGCTACCGCAAGCGACTTGCTGCTCTAGAAATGAAGCTACTCCGGATCGCCACTAGTGCACCATCCTACGTAAGAAACTCAATCTTGCGTAGAGACCTGCATTGGGACACCATCCACGAGTACCTGAGGAAAAAAGCGGAGAAGACCTTCCAGAAAGCTCAGGACCACCCGAACGAGCAGCTACGATTCCTCATGGACTACGATCCGGACGAGAGGCCTCGCAACCGCAGAACCAGGTACCCTAGACCAAGGTCCCAGTTGGCACCCGCTAACTGGAACCTTGACTAGGAGACTAGGAGAACCCGCGGTTGCTCCCCCCCCCCCCACGGCGTGGATGCAGAGGACCAGGAACCACCGCGACCAGGAACCACCGGGACCAGGACCCACCGGGACCGGGACCAACCAGGACCAGGACCCGCCACGACCAGGACCCACCAGGACCAGGACCCTTCAGGACCAGGACCAGGAACAACATATTGGTAAGAGGACTTGAAACTCTTGATTTTTCGAAAACAAGAGTTTCAAGAGAACCTAGCAGACCCTCTATCGATGATCGCTTAACGACATCGATAGAATGTGCGAGGTAAAGGGAACCAACCCGGCGTTCCCAGAGACTGAAACACATGAGGAGACGTTGTAGCAGACCGCAGGTCACGCACAACACATGGCCTACCGAGACGCTGATGAGTCGGGCCACGCGGAGGTTTAGGGTTTAGTGGGTATTAGGTGGACAACCTGGAGTCCCACACACGCCGTAGCTCGGGCTATGGTATGGTGCGTAAACGCATTCCCCCCTCACAAAAAAAAAAACAAAAAAACACGTTATACAGATCCGTACAGATCTAATGCGAAGTACGATATCTGATTGGTCGGTCGGTGCTCGGTATTGAATTGGCGCTACGGGCCCAGGACGAAACCGAGAGCTCCCAAAACCCGGAGATATTTCGTGGACTGATTAATTTTTCTGCTGACAATAAATGTAGTGTTTGAGAACAGAGAATCACTCATTGAATGCATGGAAGAAATAGAAGAAAATTTCACTAATGAAACAGTTTGCAACGCAGCTTGACGTATTCGCCGTATGTTGAACGATTCTGTTTTCGTGTTTTGGTTGACATTTTCTCATCATGTCATGCCTCACGTCGACATCGTGTTCAACCAGTTGCAGAAGAGAAAAACCGAGCCAGCGCAAGTTAAAACGGCTATCAATAATTTTGAAAAATGTGTCGATGTGAGAAATAAAATTGATGACATAATAAATGAAGCCAAAAGTATTTGCACTGAACAAAAGGAGACGACGTAATAATAGCAGTCACGATCACCGAGTTGCCGCATTAGAACTATGCGACAATATAGTGAATTCTGCAAATGACAGATTTCAATTCAATGATCATTTGGAAGCCGCATCCTTTTTTCCCCGAACACTGTGGTAAGCTTCCTGATGACAAGTTGGAAACTACCTGCTTGGCTTATCCCGAATTAGAAAAAAGTCGTTTAAAGACAGAGTTGTCATTTATGCACGGAATGATTGCCGAGATTTACATGGAACTCTGTCTGTTTTGAAATTTTTGATACAAAATAATTTAGAGGAAACACTAAAAGAAACAAAAAAGCTATTAGAAATTATTGTTACAACTCCTAAGTCAACATCAGAGGCTGAGCGAAATTTCTCAAAATTGAAAAGAATCAAGACTTTTCTTTGTAATACTATGACCCAGGATCGCCTTACAGCGTTGTCGATGCCGTCCATTGAAAAGGAATTTATTTCGACCATGAAAAATTTCAACCGGAAGGTAATCGACAAATTTGCTGCCAAGGAGCGCAGGATCGAACTGACATATAAAAAATAAGTTCGGATTTGCAGAACACCTGTTTTATTTTGCCACGAGCCGCCACTGCTTGTTGCTTGTATCGCGGAAACTAAAAGAAAAGCCCTCCATAAGAATGATACCAGGCTCGATTCGGGTTTTGTCGAATTTTTATTACTAGGACGAAAATTCAAAAAAGAATTTAAAGAAAACAATACTTTTGCGAAAGAAAAAAAAAACGGAATCTATCAAATGAGCCGTATGCGACCTTCCTTTATCCATTTGTAATGCAATTACGAAATTTCATGTCTGTGCAACTGTTTGTTCTGAAGCTAACGCAGCAGAAAGTTGATATTTTGATAAAGAAAACAAGAGATTATCAGTCATTTTTACACACAATATAAAATAATTAGACAATATGTATTAATAATGCTGCCCCAACCGAACAGTTGAAAAAAGGGATGAGCGACCTTAAGGTGGTACGTTTAAATGTTTAGCTGCACCGTAAATGTCCAGAAAACATGTAATTTTGCCGCTAGTGCATTTGAGGTTATGTGTTGCTGTGGAGTTAAAAGTTTTAACTGATTTTCAATACAGCAGACGCTCGATAACGTAAACACGGGATAATGAAAACTTGCGCTAATGTAAACACAAACTTCGTTCTATAGGATCAAACGGAACGCGCGATAATGTAAACAATGTGTACGCTCGATAACGTAAACAACTCTCGGCTCATGGAAACAGCGCGACGGTAAAATGCTGAAGCCTCGATGATTTACGTCGGGCATCGGGGAGTCCCCGATTTATGATGTAGAGTGTAGGGGATTCACCTCTGCGATAAAATACGACAAACTCGGTCAGTCGTATGATCGTTTAGGATACGTTTATACGTACGTATGTATTTCATTTTTGAACTTAAGTGAATACATTGCACGCGTTAATATATTTTACGACTATGGCATCCACATCCTATAAAAGAAAGTGTTTAAAGTTGAGTGAGAAAGTGAAAATCATAGACGAAGTTGCACTAGGTGCGGGAGTGACACAGTTAGCAAAAAAATATGGAGTATCGAAAGCAACAATCTGTAAAATTAAGCGTATGAAAACTCAAATTCTACAAAGAACGTGCAATACATTTGAAGGTCCGGGAAAAAGAAAAACTTTAAAAAATGCGAAGGCACCTAAAATGGAAAATTCCCTGTATAAGTGGAAAACAATTACCGAGCTAGATTTAAGAATGGAACAAATTTACAACGCAGATTAAAGTGGCCTTTATTGGAAAATGTTACCAGAGAAAACCTATGCTTCATCATTTGAAAAATCTGTCCCGGGAAGAAAGCCGGAGAAACAACGAATAACGTTTCTAGCCTGCACTAATGCTAATGGTTCACACAAAATAAACACACTGGTAATTGGGAAAGCAAAAAATCCGCGCTCATTTAAAAATGTTAATATCCCTGTTGATTATGACTGTTCAAAAACCGCTTGGATGACTAGCAGTATATTCCTGAAATGGTTCCACAGGTGCTTTGTCCCTCAGGTATGACAATCAATTATCACAAATGCTCTATTCATAATTTGAAGATGTGTTTTCAATTTGTAGGTAAAAGGTTTCCTAAAACAACAGAAGCTTCCAATAAAAGCGTTGTTACTATTGGATAATGCACCAAGTCATCCTCCCGAGCAACAACTGAGGAGCGCAGGGATGGGTCAATTTTCGTCATGTACATGCCGCCCAACGTAACACCGTTAATTCAACCGATGAACCAGAATATAATAACACTCACCAAACTATGCTATAGGAAGTTTCTACTTTCGTCTGTCTTATCAAAGAATCCTGAAAACTTATCTGAGGCTTTAAAAAAAGTAACATTACGACAAGCTGTTTTAGATTTACATATGGCCTGGAATGAACTTAACCAGCAAACTATTCAAAAATGTTGAAACAATCACTTGTACCAATAATGAAGATGATGAAGAAGACGATGTCCCCTTAAGCGTAATTAGAGAACGTTTGCGATCCAATAATGATAATGTTATTAGTGTGTCATTGGATGTCGTTGATTCATTGAAAACAGTGAATCCCAACATTGTTTGTACTCCTGCTGATATTAATTTATGGAACGAAGATAAACAGACGAATGATGCTGATAAGGAGGAGGATATGGACAGTGAGGATGATGAGAACGATCCCATTGAAGTCAAAAGTGTAGTGACTGACGCGCAAGCTATACAAATTTTTAACCAAGCTTTAGATTGGGCTGAAAGAAAAGAAGTTTCATACAAGGGTATTTTAGTTCTTCGTAAATTACGGGCGCAGGCATTGGAAGACAATGCTAAGCGCAAATTTTCGCAGACAAAAATTGTTAATTATTTTTCTTCTAATTAAAAAAATACTTATCGCTGTTAGAATATTTGTTTATTTTGTTATAAATAGTATGTATTAAACGTTTCTTTTAATAAATCAAATATTATATAAATCACGTTCGCTAATGTAAACATTTCGATAATGTGAACCACACTTGGATTAAATTAGTTTACATTATCGAGCGTCTGCTGTATATTCATCAATAATATAAATTTATTTTGTTGAAAACATTTTTATCTTCCACATAATAAGACCATTAGTGGGTTTATTTTGCCTTTAAAATGACGTCTACTATAGGTAACTCAAAACGCTGACTACTTTCATCAAAACATGAAAATAACTACAAAAAAAATTTACGAATTTCCTAATCATCCGTACCTCAATCGTTTTTTCATACACCACGAAGTGCTTATTGCATTTTTTAATTTTTCTCACAGTAATAAAAATTCGAACAACCCGACTCCTCCCCGATACCATTCAAACATAATACAGTGGAATCCACTTATAATGAACTTGCTTATAATGGAAACGCGTATATAATGGACACAATTTAAGGTCCTATAAACAATTGCATGTAAAATCCTCGGATATTATAGACTCGCTTAAAATAGACCCTGGACTATTTTAATCCATTATATGCGAGCTATTTTGGTTGTTCCCCGAAGCATATTTAGCTGATGCAATCGTTTAAGGCGGTTTGGCTTCGTAGTTTGCATTCGATCTTGGCCACAAGTGTTATACTGTATTTATTAGAGTTATAAACATGTCGAAAAGTGCGAAACGTGCATTCACTTTACACGAAAAGTTCACAATAATTAGTGAGGTTGAGCAGGGTTCATCTCAAGCAAATATGTGTGCTCGGATGGCTATAAAAAAATCCACTGTGTCAAATATTTGGAAAAACCGTGACAAAATTAAAAATTACTGAAAATGAAATAGTCAAAAGAAAAAATGCGGCTAGCGCTGCATCCCCAAGTCGATGATATGCTGTTTAAGTGGTTTCAACATAAGTGTGCTATAATTTTCCAATACGTGGATCTATGTTACAAATAAAGGCTGAAGAATTTGGGAAATTGATTGGAGATTACTTCAAATGTAGTTCCGGATGGCTAGACAGGTTTAAGAAAAGACATAATATTGTTTTTGGAAAATGTGTGGTGAGTCAGCTTCAGTTGACAAGAACGTAGCCAATGACTGGATTTTTCAAGTTTGACCCCTAATATCCAGTGATTATTCAGATGATAACATATTCAATGCAGATGAAACCGGGATATTTTATGGAATGCTACCAGATAAAACTCATAAATTAAAAGGTGAAACTTTCAAGATAGCAAATAACTGTTATGATTTGTGCTAATGCTTCTGGTACTGAAAAACGGAAACTATTGATAATAGGTAAGTGAATGAATAGAAATTCATGTTCTAATTTTTTTGATATTCGTTGGCAGTGCTGCAAACAATTTATGACCTTTTTTATTTCACGGAAATTTAAGAATCCCAGGTGTTTAAAAAATGTTAAAACAATTCCCGTCGATTATGTTGGAAATCATAAAGCCTGGATGACTTCATCAATTTTTGAAGAATATTTTAAAAAATGGGACGCTGAACTTGTTAAGAAAAATCGTAAAATTTTGCTCTTGGTCGATAACTCCAAATATTTCACTTAATAACATCAATCTTAAATTAATATTTATTATTTAAAAAAATGGGATGCTGAACTTGTTAAGAAAAATCTTAAAATGTTGCTCTTGATCGATAACTCCAAATATTTCACTTCATCAATCTTAAATTTTTTCCACCTGATGTGACATCAGTTCTGCAACCAATGGACCAGGGTGTCATTTGGAGTCTTAAACAAATATATCGGAAACATATGTAGATGAAAACTATGGAGCTTCAAGAAAATGTCAACATTAAAAAAGCCGTCACCATTTTAGATGCTAGAAATTTGCTTACTATTGCATGGGAATTTGTTACTCCAGCAACGATTCTTCTAATTGTTTTCGTTATGCTGTTTTAGTGAAAAACATAACTGAAATAGTCAATGATTTTAATCCAGAAGATGAAATTCCATTAAGTGATTTACTGAAAATATATACGTATAACTTTTGTATGTATCTTTATTTATATAATACATGTTAAACAAGCACATTTTAAGCTTTTAATATGTTATTTCGACTGCTTTTTTCATTAAAAAAATGTTTCTTTTAAGATAGCCATCCGCCTATATAATATACTATTTGTCAAATACATATTAAATCGCATTTACTTTGAATACGTTATCTAAACTGTAATTCATCTCACAGTATCACAAACAATTACTGAAAACCGATTCGTATCAATAATTCCGTCGACACACCGGCATCGCGTCGCTCTAAACCTATCGACATTCATCTGTCCAACCTGCAATATCCTCCGGTTACGTCACACTTAACAGCACATAGCACACTAGATGCACATTCGGAACGACACACCGCACCACCGCCAATCAAACGAGCCGGGAGCGAGGCCCGCGCGCGGCGCGACCTTTACGACGATCGACGAAAACGAAGTGTGCCGCGGAACAGTTGAATATCAGCGCCGCGCGTTGCACAGCCGACTGAGCCGCGGCAAGAAGTCGAAGGTGATCAAGAGCACCGCTTCAGGTAGACCGCGGGCAACGCGAGGTCTCGATGACGCGAAATAACGTAACGTAAACAGTGGGGGAGGACGTAAGATATTCGGGTTTAGATAAGGCTAAAAAAAAGTCCCTTTTTAGGGATAAATTTCTTTTTCGGATCAAAAAGATGCATATAAAAATGTCCAATAGAGAATCTGACATAGCCCAAAACTTTGCTAAAAACAAAACTGTCTTCGCTTGCTCACCCTGCATAAGTGAATAAATAAAAGAAATACAGTAATGGACAAAAGTATATAGGCAAATTAATATTGTGCTGTATTTCTTTTTTAACTTGTTTTATTAATACACCAACCTGTATATATAATTCGTTATAGCATAATACTTATACATAAATAAATTCATTAGACTCCCTTCAATAAAAAATTAATTGAAAAAAACTGGAACTATGAAGGACAAAAATATATAGACAAAGCAAAACAATTATAGAAAAAAGAAGCAAAGTTCATTGAATTATAGAAAACCAACCATGTTTGTGTTAACATTTTGTAGCATAACCATTATTATCAATCACCGCCTGGCATCGTCTCGTCATAGATTGTAGAAGTTTCTTGATATAAGATTCATCAATGTGTCTCCACTTTTGCTCTAAAGCGGCAAAAAGTTCATCCTTGTATGAATAATTTTTATCTCGTATTTGCTTATCTAACTGTTCCCATAGATGTTCAATGGGGTTTATATCGGGAGACTATGAAGGCTCGTATTTGCTAGTTTTCTTTTATGAGCTTCAGAGTCGAATATCAATGAGGCTTGCTATTCATCAAGGTAGTGTCATCAGCGAATAGGATTAAGTTATTATTCACATTACAGTTAGTTATATCATTGACGTAAATTAAAAATAAAATAGGTCCGAATACCGAGCCTTGCGGTACCCCGTGAGCAGCGACTAACTGTGAGGATGATGAACCTTTAAAGAATACAAATTGGCGTCGATTACTCAAGTAAGATTTAATCATTGCAGTGGATGCTTCATGAAAGTTATAAAAAGGGAGCTTTTCCAACAGGATGTCGTGTTGAACACGATCAAAGGCTTTGGACAAGTCCAACAAACATGCTGCGCCATATAGGTTGTTTTCAAAAGTCTCGTTCACAAACTGAATAAAACTGTTAATAGCTGATGTGGTGGAACTATTTTTCCTAAAACCAAACTGTGTTGAGCAAAATAGATTATTAGCCTCAAAGTATTCATTAATTTGATCTTTCAACAAATTCCAAAATTTTCGCAAAAATAGGTATTAAGGAAATGGGCCTGTCGTTGCATAACTCTTCAGTATCCCCTTGTTTGAAAATGGGTATAAGTTTAGATAGTTTGAAAAAATCCGGAAAAGTATTACTTTCTATACACTGATTGAATAACTTGGTTAGAGGATATATGATGAGATTTTGCAAGGTTTTGACAATCCTGACAGTACTCTTTGAGTTTTTTGGTTTATTTATGGCAGTTCTCACATCATGATATGAAACTTCCCTGAATCGAAAGTGTGAACTATGAGTAGGATGATTCATATAATGCGATGTAGAAACATCGGATGGGGTAATTTTATTTAAAAGTTTTTGTGCGATATGGGTAAAAAAGTCGTCGAATTGATGTGCTGTGATAGATGTTGAGGACTCCTGGTTGTGTGCGTTCGGTTTAACATTCTTTATGATATTCCAAGCAGCATGTTGTCTGTCGTTGGATTTATTAATGTAGTCATCATTGGCTTTAATCTTAGCTTTGACAATTTCTTGTCTGTAACTGTATTTAAATTGTTTCAAGCAGTCCGTACTAACTAAAGTAACATCGTCTTTATGCAGCTCTGTTAGGAAAGTCAAAGTCTCTCTCATATTTCTTATATGATCATTGAACCAATACACATTACAGGAGCTTTTATTATCATTAACAAGTCGCGATTTTATAGGAAGATGTTGATTGACCGAAATTCTGACAATCGATATGAATTTTTCAATTTTATATTCGATTGTCGTACTTTTTTCATTAACAAATTCGAAAGATGTTGATTCTATTGATCTTAACGGCATTTGTCTTCCATATAGGGTAACATGACATGCTTTAGTATGTCTGTGTATACAATCTTATCCATATTGCCATCTATTCTATGTAAAGATCCCATCCCAAACCCTGAAAAGCACCCCCAAACCATAACAGACCCGCCTCCATGTTTGACAGTGGGCAAAGTGTACTTGGGGTTCAATCTTTGTAGACTAGGATGTCTAACGTAATGAACACCATCTGATCCAAACATATTGAATTTGGATTCGTCACTGAAACATACCCTCTTCCAGTCACAGATGCTCCAATCAAGATGCAACCGTGCAAATTGTAATCGGTACTTACGATTTTTCCTCGAAATCATTTATTTATTTTAAACGGTTCTTTGGACGAAATTACTTTTATTAATCTAACCGAACTAGTGTTTAGTCCTCTAGGCTGAACACTTCTCTTAGAGGCTTCCGAGATACCTTTTTGTTTATATTTGTTCAATATTGCCCAAACTGCTTTACGCTTCAGCTTCAAATTTTTGACAATGTCGACTTGACGTTGACCATCTTTGTATAACTCAATGATCTTAGTTTTAACATCGAAAGAAATTTCTGGACCACGCGGCATGGTCTTAAAATCACTCGACTTATTCCACAATACTTGATGAACACAAACTAAAATCCTCTTTTGACACGAAACTGTACTAAACTAATGTTGAAAAGAATTTGTCTACATATTTTTGTCCCTCATAAAAAAGTGCTTATATTCAGACTTGTAGTGTGTTCATTGCAGATAATTTAAAAACAAGGAATGAAGTATGAATTCGTTTTCTGAAGGTATTTAGGTAAATATTCATTTTTGTCTAAGTATATACTTTTGTCCATTACTGTATGTATACCGGTCGAACAGTGTAGGTGTTCTCAATGAGTTGGAGCTGATATCTCTTTTTGTATCGAGATTTGAATTTGGGTAAAATTTTCCATGTTGGAAAGCAACTCACCAGTTTATTCAATGCTTGAAAAATCGGTTAAAAATTGTAGTTTTTGAGGTCGCCAAGTATCTAAATTAAAGTTAAGACCTTTCTCTACAAGCCCTGGAAGAATTTTTAAATGATTTCAACCTCGTTTTTCAAGCGAAAATTGTCGAACCTCTGGTGTGCTTACCGGTTACTTATTGTTGAACTTCCACTCCTGTCTACACATGGGACACTGCTGATTGACCGTTTGCGACTGCAACCACTTGACGATGCAATGCATGTGAAAACAGTGCGAGCACTGGCCCCAAACTAGAGGGCAGTCGTCTCCGGGCAGTTTGCAATCGGGACAGCAACCGTCAAAGGCCATGCGACAGATGCCGCAGTTGTCGTCGTTTGCTATCCAACGCCAGGAGGCCACTCCAGTCCAATCTGAAAGAAAAAATGTCGTAAAGTAGGTTGATTCTGCACTTTTCATTCAATGCTATCATCAGTTCATATGGATTATGTTCTGCACAAGTGAGATCCTCTGAGAAAAAGTTAGCTATGTACAGGGTGTAACTTCATTTTATGGCTAAAAATACAGGATATGATTCCTTAGCTCATTTTAGGAAGAAAAGTTGATATGAACATATACAGTCATGGACAAAAGTGTATAGTGAAATATGAATATTTTCCTAAATACCTTTAGAAAACGAATTCATACTTCATTGCTACATAAACAAATGCGTTATTAGTAGAAAAACTAAATTCCTTGTTTTTACATTATCTGCAATGAACACAATACAAGTCTGAGTATAAGCACTTTTTTATGAGGGACAAAAATATGTAGACAAATTATTTTCAATTAAGTTTAGTACAGTTTCGTGTCAGAAGAGGATTAGTTTGTGTTCATTAAGTATTGTGGAATAAGTTGAGGGATTCTGAGACCATGCCGCGTGGTCCAGAAATTTCTTTCGATGTGAAAACTAAGATCGTTGAGTTATACAAAGATGGTCAACATCAAGTCGACATTGCCAAAAATTTGAAGCTGAAACGTAAAGTAGTTTGCATATTGAACAAATATAAACAAAAAGGTATCTTGGAAGCCTCTAAGAGACGTGGTCTGCCTAGAAAACTAAATGCTAGATCAGTTAGATGAATAAAAGTAATTTAGTCCAAACATCTGTTTAAAACCCCAAGACAAATAAGTATAAGTAGAAGATTAAATGATTTGAAGTTATTTGCACGTCGCGCAAGTAAGATGCCGCTAATCTCGAGGGAAAACCGTAAGGACCGATTACAATTTGCACGGTTGCATCTTGATTGGCGCATCTGTGACTGGAAAAGGGTATGTTTCACTGTTAAACATGGAGGCGGGTCTGTTATGGTTTGGGGGTGCTTTTCGGGGTTTGGGATGGGACCTTACATAGAATAGATGGCATTATGGATAAGTTTGTATACACAGACATACTAAAGCATGTCATGTTACCCTATATGGAAGACAATATGCCCTTAAGATCAATCTTCCATCAAGATAATGACCCGCAGCACAGTTTAAATCTCGCAAAGAAATTCTTTCTGGATGAAAACATACCAGTTCTCAAATGGCCTTCAGTCTTCCCATATAAACCCCATTGAAAATCTATGGGAATACTTAGATAAGCAAATACGAGATAAAAATCATTCAAACAAGGATGAACTTTTCGCCGCTTTTGAGCAAAAAAGATTGATGAATCTTGTATCAAAAAACTTCTACAATCTATGCTAAGACGATGCCAGGTAGTGATTGATAATAATGGTTATGCTACAAAATATTAACACAAACATGGTTGGTTTTCTATAATTCAATGAACTTTGCTTCTTTTTTCTATAATTGTTTTGCTTTGTCTATATATTTTTGTCCTTCATAGTTCCAGTTTTTTTCAATTAATTTCTTATTGAAGGGAGTCTAATGAATTTATGTATAAGTGAGTATTATGCTATAACGAATTATATATTCAGGTTGGTGTATTAATAAAACAAGTTAAAAAAGAGATACAGCATAATATTAATTTGTCTATAGACTTTTGTCCATTACTGTATGTCTTAAACCTATTAACTTTTGAGCTACAGGGTGTTAAAATTTCAAGATAAAATTCGTTTTCTTGTCATATACTTTGATACTGTTCTAGATATTTTCAGGAAATTTGACAGGCACCTACCAGGCACCAATAGGCAGTTTTTTATGGAGAATATTTTTATACTTAATATTCCTACCAGTGGCATCCGTATGGGACATATACTGTAGATTAAAAAAAATGCTTTTTAAAAAAGATATATTTTTAAAATCCTGATTTATGTTGCAATAAATTTGACCTCTTGACTTTTTTCCGTCCAACGCACCGTTTTTGGTGCCATTTTCATTCATTTGTGGTACAATGAAATTATTTAGAACAGTATTAAAATGATGACGAAAAAACAAACTTTTTCTTGAAACCTTAACACCCTGTAGCTCAAAAGTTAAGAGGTTTAGGACATATGTTCATATAAACTTTTATTCCCAAAATGACCTAAGGAATCATATCTATGTCATCAATTAAATCACACTCTGTATATGTAACAGAGAAATTAAAAGGATCGAGTCAGTCAAACACGCCCATACCGTTAGTCGCTACCCTACTGGTAGTGCCATCCATCTGGGACCTGTTTTATCAATTTGTACAGTGACTAGTTCCTAGATAGAACCTACTGTGGCTGCTACTCACATGTCCAGAGAGCTGCAACAACTAGGATATCTGTATATCAATATCACAAACTTTGCTCCTAAGTACTCTTCCATCTGCCAAATTGACCATCTAACCTGTCTAACTCTGGTCAGTATTAGCATTTATGTGCTTCAATGATATTGATGTGTGACAATCTACCAGAAAAGGTTCTCGTCAGTTTTGCTAATCTTAAGGCAGTCCAAAACTTTGATTTTAAACGAGAGCTCTTGAGCATCTTCAAAACAGTCACGTTCTACTATATTTAGGCTTTACCTTGTCTGCATCTTGCTCTACTATTAAGCCTTTTAAATACCAAAACATAACGAAAAAGGAATCCAAACATTGCAAGAGAAGTACTTACTTTTGATTCGCACTTTCATTCTTCCATTAAAACAGCACTTAAAACAATTTAACTACAGTTTCACTGTCACTTGTTTCACAAAATATTTGGTATGCACTATTTTTTTGGGAAATTTTGAAGATGAGCGGTTTTCTTCCCGACCCCAATAATTCCAACACATACACAAAACACAACTACCAATTCAAACTCAGATTCTAACCTAGAAACCAGAAAATTGGTGAATCAAAAACCTGGGAAGAGGATGAATTATTTGGTAAAAATAGATGAAAGTGTAGCAAGTGGGGATACCACAGGGTATACTAGAGATAATAATTTTCCATTTTTTCAACAATAAAATAATTATATTTTGAAAATCGTTCTTTTCTAGTAGGGATGGGCAGAAATAACTGGTTAATTGAATAGCCGGTTTATCTAATTAACCGGCTTTAACCGGTTATTTCATCTTTGTTGCTTAAAGATTTACTTAGCATGTTGACTACAATTACATTCTTTTAAAAAACAACAACAATTACATGGCATACAGATATTTCGAAAAACAAAATTTGTATCTCTAAGAATTTTTACTGTCAATGAAATATTCGATTAATTTTCTTTTAAACATCTTTAAATTACAAGTAGACTTTATATCATTATTGAATTTATTAAATTCAAGTAATCCTTTCTGAAATATTGATTTGCTAGTTATATTACTATTGCAACTTTGTGATGAATGAAAATCCATATTCCCTCTTGTATAATAATTGTGGTAATGATTATTCAATTCTATTTAGTGTTCTAAATGTTGTGGCGAAAGATTTTTTATTTTAAGTACAAAAATAAGAACCAAATATGATATGAAATTTTTTATATCTAACCACTGCAAGTTATGTAACAGACTTTATTTTGGTGTACTTGTTTTTATTCTATATTATTCTCATGGTTTTATTTTGCAAGACTTGTAATTTTGAGAATATAGCTTCATTGGCAGTGAACAAGATAGTTGAACAATTTAGTAAATGCGGTAGAATAAATGTATAATAAACCATTTTTTGGAATATGTAGTGAGATTATGAGAAGCTCTATAAAAGTAATTTGTTTTTTTACATTTTTTTAAATAATATATTCATAGTGATCCTCAAACTTTCGTTTACTATCAATATATATACCCAAACTTTTAATTGATCAACATCTTCAATTATTTCACGATATCCTAATTGTGATAGTCTTTACTTTCATCTGATATGTATATTAATGCAAAATCATCTGCAAATATCTGAATTTTACAATAATATAAAATATTACAAATGTTATTAATATGTATATAAAATAGATAGTAGAGGACCAAGTCTACTACCTTGTGGTACACCTATCTATGGCCAATGACACTTTGTTGGATTGTTGATCGACAAAAATAAAGGTTATTTTCTGGTTAAACGCATAACCGCTTAAAATTATTGATATTATAACAGGTTTTTTTTATCCATAACCGCCCATCCCTAGTTTCTACGTCAACTTTTGACGTAAAATATTGTTCTGTGGTTAGCTAGTTGACATGTAACTGTCATTAGTAACAGCTATTTGTTTTGATTGCATTTTCAGCTGATCCGAAAGTAAATATTGATAATCGTTCCATCAATTTTTTTATTTACTAGGAAAAGTCGAAGAGCAATTCCAAACAACCAACTTATCCGAGCGACAAATAGCTTCTGAGATTTTCCACTTAGCTGATAATCCAACGTTTTGCAAGATAGTAAAGGTAAAATTACATTTAAAAGCCTGCTTATAAATGTAAAATATTTCCAGGCAGCCTCAAAAATGGAAAATCAGGAAAGTATATCCAAGAAAACCAGGGTGGATCTACAATCATTACCAACCAGACAATACCTGGACCAAACTGTTGTGCCTATTCTAATGTCTGGTCTCGCGTATCTATCCAAAGAAAGACCTCCCGAGCCTGTAGTGGCTCTAGCAAAATACCTGTTGAAGAACAAGTCCACATTGGAAACTGGGACCATAACTGAGAATGTTTCACAAAACATCGAGTCAACCACTGAAGGAAAAATAAATTGTGATAAGTAATCTGTATTTATTGTACCAAATGAGTAATATAAATATTTGTAAGTTAATAGTATTTATCTAAGCCTTTAATGGTGTTTGGCCACAATTTTTAGGCGTACCAAAGAGATCTGAAAGATGCTAGCGCCATCTTAGTGACAGTAGCAGAAGACAAATGAATTTAGAAATCTACCTTGAAAGAGGAAATTTGATCCTGCTATTGTTTCTTCAGTTGAAAATGTGCCTCACGGGAGAAAATCATTTTCTTCGAGAAATCCGCATCAATTTGGTGGTGCTCCAGCGCCCAATCAACGAATTCACGGCCGTGCGCGTCGTCCGTTGGCTCGAGTTCTTGCGTTAGTTGAACCTTGTACGCGTGCAAGCGCAGACCTTTTGTTGAAATTCGTTGCAGAGTGGGCCTGGTAAGGTTCAATTCTTGACCACGATGCCGAATGGAAGTGCCTGGATTCTCCGCCACCCGTTCCCGCACTGCGACTATATTTTCGACGTACCGACCAGGACGGCGACAAACACAGTGGTTTTCACATTCAGCAACGTGAATTTTGTCTCAAATTTTGTAATTAAACGGCGAACTGTCGACTCATTTTTTGTAGTTAGTTTTCACAATAATTGAACGTTGCTCGTTTGAATACTGCTCGATGACGTCCAATCGTGTGGTCTGGACATGTCAGCTGTCATCAACAGTGTTGCCAGAGCGAAGTTTAAAATATCCGTCACACGTATCGCAAAATTCCGCTACATGCCGCTACGGTCTAAAAATTTAAGGGGGGGGGGGGGCTTAAAATAAACAACAAATATATTTTTTACATATTTACTTTTTTTTAAACACTGTCTAAAAACCCTACTAAAAATACAAACAGTAACATAATATAATTGCAATTTTTCGTAAAAACATAAAAAGTATACCTCTAAAAAAACAAAACTGTCTTTGGTTTAGAATTAGGAACTAATAAAAAAATAGAAACTATCACCAATATCTTAATCTAGATAGAAAAAAAAAACAAAAAATAAGGACAAAGAAGAAGCGGAAACGTGGAAATGCCTACGTTTGCTTATTTTATTCAGTCAGAATCAGAAATTACTTCTTCTTCAGCTTGTTTAAATGATTCTCATTAAAACTATAGGATAAACAGCACTGTTTTTTTGATTCCAAGTCTAATTTAATTGTAAGTAGCGCAGACAAAGTGGATGGTATTATTTTATTTCTTTTTTTTGTTTTGTAATCAAGCATATAAGAAAAAGTTCGCTCAACATCAGCGTTTCCATGAGGCAATGTTAAAATGATTAGAGCCAGTTTACCTATATTGCGAAATAAATATTCGTCATTAAATTGGTTAAAAATGGGCAACACGAATTTAAATAACATTAAATACGCCTTTACAAATGGATTCTGTAACTCATTAAGTATTACATTTGCTACAGGATTTTTGTCTTCAGTGGAAGCTAATCTAAATAGGCTAAGCAAGATGTCCCACTGATCCAAAACTCTATCAACACATTTGGATAAAGCAAGCCACCTTGTTTTATCAGGGCTTAAAATTTTTAATTTTGACTTTTCGAAATATTCCTGTAATTCTTCAAGAACACACTGCCTTTTTGGGCTTCATGAGAAGTAAGAATATAAGTTTTGTAAAAGAGCTTCAACGTTGCTTGGAATCTTTTCAGCTGCCGCCACCGCCACTAAATGAGCAGAGTGGCAAATGCAGCCATTGACAATTATATTAGGATTATCTTTTAAAAGATAAGTTTTGAAAGATTCGTTATTGCCCATCATAACACTAGCGTTGTCGGAACAGTATCCAACAATATTGGTAATTTTTACTTGATTGGATATAACGCATTTTTTAAAACGAGAAATAAACCTTTGGCGGAACCTTCATCTGCGTTTATTTTAATTATATCTAATAAATGGGTTTTAATTGAATTTTTATGAATATACCTTACAAGAATGCATAGTAGTCTTGTATTGCTCAGGTCTGTACTCTCATCCAATAAAATAGAAAATGGTTTATTTTCCAATTCTGAAATTATTTCGTCTTTAATAACAGGAGCCAGCACATTTTTAATTATACTTATGCATTTGGATCTTTTTAATGTAAGTGAGCTAGAGAGATCTGGGTCTTTAAAACATAATTGACCAACTCCTGTTATATGATCAACAGTTCTAAAACTTATATAATGACTTACAACTAAAAGACTATATCTTAAGCAAGCAAATATTTGCCGTTTTTCCAACTCACGTGCTTCCTTCCCGAGACTGAAAAGTGCTATCTAACGTTCTTACATTCGAAATTGCTTGTACATTAGTGGCATGCCTTTTTAATTTCGAATGATTCACTAAATCTGATTTTTTAGCACCCATTATTTGATTACAAGCTTTCAATAGGTCCCAACCAGCCTTTAAATAACGGATCTTCTAGCCATGATGAAGTAAACATTTGTTTTCGTGTCTTTTTCTTAACAGGTTGCTCTGGCTCTTGGTTATCCTGAGATTCGCAAGTCGAATTATCAGGCTCAGACCTGATTCCACTAGATTCCGCTCTTCTATTTTGTCTGTATTCAGGTTCGGGATGCTCCGAGTCCGACACAGATGCAGTCGAAGTGGATGGTACGGCTACGTTTGGTTTCACCGTTTGTTTTTTTTTAGAAGGATTTTTATCAAAAAAAATCGTTAATGGTCTGCAGTCGCGTTTCCATTATTCCTATTTTCCAGAAGAAAAAGCGTTAAAAACAAATTTCGCGACTAAGATTTATTTCTGGATCAAAGTATAATATGTTAGATATTTAAGCAGTTTTGTTACTTACCAGTAGATTTAATATTAAAATCAGCAGCAAATGATATATCAATAAAATGATCAACACAAAAATAAGAACACTAATATAAACGAAACTAAACAGTATATACCCAGAGCTGAAAAATACAATACAAAGCGAGAAACCTAATATTATGTCTGCCTGCTGAGACCTGTTAGAAACGAGTATTGAAAGCAGTACGTACGCCATCTGTTATTGAAAAAAAAAAGGCAAGTGGAATAATTCTCTTCTCTGTTCCTAGATGGCTCAAGCGGCACCAAATGCACCAATTTTATTATTAATGTGATAATAAATCAGACTCTAGCCACTGCCTATTTAGGATTTAGAACGTTATTAACGTTAAAACAGTGAAATAAATATGATAGTTTTGTATGTAATAAATTCCGCTACATTTTGGGCTAATTTGCTCTACCGCCGCTACGCCGCTCTTCTCAAAATAATCCGCTACAACCTTTGTACAAAAAAATGGCGGCAAATTCATATCCGGCGCTCTTGTTGAGACACCCTTTAGAAGCCGCGGTGTCCCGGTGTTTAGGCTTCTGCCTACGCGCGGCTGCTTCGGTATAAATATAATAAATGAAAAGAATTATAGAAAGGTTCAAACGCGACGGTTGGTGTGAAAAAATGCACATTTACTTTCATTTATGTCATAACTATTTATATAGAATAAAATACACAGTTTCATATAAAAACATTTAACAAAAATAACGAGAAATAGACACACATTGGAGGTAAAACAACAAAAATACAGGTTGCAATCCCGACACAAACGGTACTGATTAGTTGCACGCTACTATTGTATCATTTAATTAATCTTGTTCAACTTGTCATCAATATCAGTAAGAAACTATATAAATTTTAATCAGCTAATATACACAAAAAAACTACCCATCATGATTTAGATAAAGTTACACATTAGGTTTATTTCACCACTTCCAATGACAACATTTTATTGCAGTTTTGATGGCAAATCATTTATATACAGTATGATACCATTAATAGAGAGTTTTAAGTGTAACGAAAATAACGAATCGTTTAAGCCTTCGATTCGATTATTTTTGACAGCGACAGCAAATAACGGATGTCAACAAAAAAACAATTATGACAATTAAAGCAATCCGTCGTAATATGACAGTAGTGACTACTGACAGTCACGACATGATGCTTACTTTTTTTTCGATTTTGACGGAAGGGCTATCACCAAAATTTCAAAAACTCGTTAATTTTTTTCAAATAAAAGTTTCAGGAATATTTGTGTCGAAACTCGACTGCATAAGTTTGGACTTATAGAACCTCAGAAGGACTAAAGTAAAACGCTACCATGCCACATTGCATGTATAGCAAACATCAGGACCATTCGATGTGTTTCCTGTTCCTTGAATTTGTTTTGTTTGTTAATTTAAGCTTTACGAATTCCCGCAACAGGGGAAAATAACCTTAGGCAATTAGCTCTCCCTATCTAAGGGTGCTCTCTTATTTCGATAACGAAGGTTTGTCCTGCTCCTGAACAAAAACGAAGTCAAAAGGAAGCAGCGCAAAATAAGAAAAGTCTCTCACAACGTTCGTATTTGGGACCTTCAGTAACGCTGAGGCGTTTAGGCAACTAGAGTTACGCCACCGTGGATCACGAGCGGTATAGCATGCAGCCAAAATACGTGAGGCTCGCGACGACACTCCATACATATCGGGAAGCATCGATAAACTTCGATGAAACGCTGGCAGGCTTCTGGAATTCATCGATTGAAGTTAAATGTCCGACCAGATGGCGGAAGCAGTCAGTCTCAGCTGAGTCAGTAAAAAACCATAACACAGTCGAGATGGTTATAAATTTGTAATAAACTACAGCATATTCAGATAAGAGATAGACCGGATGTAAACAAAAGGTTCGGGTGATTTTCACGCTAACGCCGCCGTCTCGACGTAAAACAGGAGCCCTCATTGGTCAATTCGCAATTAAATGCCTATGCCGAGCGGCAGAGCAGTCGTATCAAGGCAGAGTCACATTCAGGTTCAGACGTGTTACGTATGTCGTGTGCATCATTGCAATTTGATATTTCTTTGGACGTTTTCGTTTGTTATCTTATTAAGTTGTTGAGTTTGTCGTTGTTATTGTTATACCTTGTTATTGATTGTTATTGTTATCAACTGCTTGCGCAAAATGTCCAGTAGTACAGATACTGCCGATGAAGTTGTAAACTCCTGTAGTCCACCTAGGAAACGCTCTAAAAAAAGACACCTGAGTGCAGAAATG